GATACACTGTGAGGGTTTCACAAAGTGTCCGGACCTCGAAGTTAAGGGTCTCCAAATCCTGTTGGCTCTCCGCCAACACCAGAGTCAATCGCTTCACCTCTGCGCTCAGATCTTCTCCCCGGGCGGAAGTCTGCGTCTCTGCGAGTTGGTCCCGAGTCATGAACAGTTTGAACAGTTTAGCTTGAAGTTCGCTAGTCTTGTCGGCAAGACCGCCCTCGCGGTGCTCTGCAACATGGGAGTTCGTGCTCCAACATTTCGAGCGAGTGCTGATTTTGCCAAAATACGAGGGAACTGGTAAGACAATCACTTCAGGGACGAAAGTTTAAAACTCTGCAAAGAAACATACCACATCCAACGAGCGAGTGAGCTCCGAAGCGGTCAGCCACCACCCAAAAATCTGACGAGACGAAGGCTGGGTTAGAAGATGGGCCCCGACTCGGAATTGACGCTCATCGCCCTCGGAGAACCAGGCGCAGAGGAGGCCGAGGGAACATAGCGTGGATACCCGGAGACGCTTGGAGTCCCTGCCATTCGGGGAGATCCTACCCCGCTCAGAATCTCGTAACCCGCAGAAGATTCAGAGTTTATGGAGGTCGAGAGGGAGAAGAGCGGCCCGGTGCAGGCCGAAGATGGGTTAGCCCTCAGCGTCCCCCCGGCGGGAGATTCGATGCAGCATCTCTAGCATGAAGGCCGGGCCGACCCCCCCCCCCCCCCCCCCCCCCCCCATCAGGAGAACCGGCACGACCGTTGCGTAGACGCCCTCAAGTGAGCCTCGAGTTGGGAAGATGAACCCCCAAGCATAAAGATCCCACACCTCCTTGAGCCGGTGCAGGCAACCTGCCAAGTCAAGATAAGCAAGCAGCATCTGCAAAACAAGGGTAACAAGGGAATCTTACCTGACATAAGAGACGGGAAGATGAGAGAGCTTGCCATGATGCTTACCAGCGAGAGAAAAAAATAGAATGATTTGAACCATTTGTCTAGCGCGAGCAGCCGGTTCATTTTGATCTGTTCAAAGGCGGACGTCATCAGAGAGCCTGAAAACGTGGAAATTACCAATCAGAAGTCAGACCGAGTGACCAAGGCAAACAAGAAAGAAAGAAGGCAGTGGTCAACAAATTTACCTTGTGGACGCCAACTGAGATGGACGTTGACATCCGCAGGCATCCTCTAAAAGAAATACCGCTCCCGCCAGTCATGCTTCTGGATCGGTCCCCGAAGATAGGGATGGTGCAGCCATCTCTGGTGTGCAAGGTGTAGCGGATAGCATCGGCGGTAAGATTATGGAGCTGGTAAGACAACAACACGGTTGAACCACACACATCGACTTCAGACAAGTCCGAGAGAACTTGGTAAGAACATAGATACCCTATGCCGAAAGGTGAAGCTGACTGGGGCAGATGCCAGCGAGGCGGCATAAGTCGATCAGCATCCGAAGAAGGCTGCTCTGGAAGCGATAAGAGATGTAGTCGTCGTGGATTGCCAAGCAGTGAGGCGGAGGGTGATCCGCTTGGTCTCCCCCAACGGGGAAGATAGCGCCAAGGCTAGAAGAGGGAGGTTCATTCGCCCTCAGATACCTCTCTAGAGAATCCAGCGTGCTCACCATCGGAGGACGATCGCAAGGTGAGGCCGCCGAAGATATTCGAGTCATGCTTTCTGCCTCGCCTTCAGACCACGAGAAGCGCGCACGCCACTCGCCGGATGATGAACTCACAACCAACATCTCTATTGAACGAGAAGAGAGATAAGAGGCGAGAGGTGTTTGTGGAAAAGTAGATCTGCAAATTGCTTCGAGAATGGTATAAGACCACGAAGGCATGGATTCCGTGGAATTTATTGAAGAAGGTAGAAATCGAAGCGACGGGCGAGAGAAATCTTGTCGCTCGAGGAAAGCTAAAAGTCAAAGGCATTCTCGTAATTATTGGCTTCTCGAGCCATGCGATGGAAGTGACGCATATTCAATATGGAGGGAGACAGGCCGCCCATTGCAACAGAAAAAGCAACTGGCGGTTCATAAGAAACAAGGCACACTGCACGACATGACAAGTCGCAGGAGTTCGCCATGTGGATCGCACTCATCACACACTTGAACCCCACCCAACAACGGCTAGCAATTCTGGCAAGGCCATACAAAAATCGACGAACAGTCGCGACGGTATGAAATTCGCACCCCTACAAGAAAATCGCCAAACGTTAGCAGAGAGAAATAGTCCCGGGGACGGGTTAGATAGAGTCTGCGCACGGGTCAAAGGTAACCGCCCGAGCGTCTTGGTCCCCGCGGCAGAATATACGAAACCCGTGGCTGCAGACACAATGTGGCCGTCTTGAAGATACTTTTGGCTGGCTACTGTCTGCGAGGCTGTTCCTCTCCCACCCTGCGAGGTTATCTCATTTCTTTCTTGATTGATTGCTTGATTTCTTGCTTGCTTGATTGTTTAATTTCTCGGTTGCTTGATTGTTTGATTTTTTGCGTGCGTGATTGTGTGATTTCTTGCTTGTGTGATTGCATAATTTTTTGTTTGCGTGATTTCTCGCTCGCATGGTTGTGTGATTTCTTGCTCTCATGGTTGTCTGATTTCTTGCTTGCATGATTGCGTAATTTCTTGCCAGTATGATCGTGCGATTTCTTGTTCACATGACAGCATGTTCTTTCTCGTTTGCATGCCATCAACACTCGTATTTCGCTTGCATTCGTACCCTCTGGGGGCATCACCTTTAAACTTGCGCTATTTTTCTTCAAAAATCCCTTTTTTAGCATGTTCTCTCGCGGACTTATTTTTCTTTCGGGACCCCATTCCTCCAGGAATTCAGAACTTCGGTCCAGCAGGCCCCTGCGGCCTTTTGCTGCATCAGCTCCTTCCGGGGACTAAGCATGCTCCCCCGCGGACTTTCTCTCCCTCCAGAGTATCCTTCCTTCGGGATTCTGAGGCTTCAGCCTCATAGACCTTCGGGTCTTCTTCGCCATTCCCCCCCCCCCCCCCTCCCTCAGCGGGCTGCACGACAAAACAGCACGCTCCTTAGACATACGTGCCACTTAGGCACCACAGGAATTGAGATCGCCTACACTCAAGCTTTCTCTTTCTGATAATTTTCCTGACCTCTTCCTTCCGGTGTACATCACAAGCATGTTCTCAAAATCCAGAAACTTCCGCGTAAGCACAATGCAAAGATTGCCCAGGCAGTAAGGGAGTCGAGGTAATGCCCTCGGGAAACGTCATACTCCTCACCAGCTGTACTCGAGTAGCGACTCCTCCTTACGTTAGCGCCTCGCAACGCAGGGACCATATATTTATCCGCTTAACGGTGCCACCCTTGGCCCTTGGGTCGGTGTCTTAAACCGTGTCGCTGTCTTATATCGATCCCCATGGTCACATAAAACTATAACCTCTCTCATGACCCAGATGAAAGGAGAAAGACGGGTTCTTGTCTAGTGCCTCACAAAACAAGGAGTAAACTTCCTCCAAGGAGATGTCTATCCGTGGACGAGCTATCAGTTCCTCCAGGAGCGCCAATATCCTCCTATCCTGAGAAAGTACCGTACTCCCTCGGGATGCATGCCCCAGTCAGGGTAGAATGCAATCTTCTATCTTCTCCGGAAGGAAGAGGTCCGGAAAGGTCGGAGTCGATGCCTCCTTTTCTACTTCTCTAGAAGTCCAGACTCCCCAACCAGTACCATACTCCCATAGAATGCGTGGCACGGTTCGAGCGAGTCCCTGTTTAAATATAGCCCTTCAAGAACTTAGTTTTGCCCAGACGGATACTGTACCCTTTGGGATACGCGGCAAGGTCGGCACCTTAATATGCCTTCAACGGCAAGTAGCTTAGGGAACTGGATAATTTATGATATTGCGCAGGAAACCCAAGGAAGTCGACTCCCTGACTCATTTCCCAATCAGTCAAGAAGTCGGGGACAACTGTTGGGACCGATTTTACCACCTCCAAGGATAGCGCAACACGTGGAGATCGAATCATTCTAAACGTGGACATCGAACCATCCCAAACATTGTTCCCGGGAAGTTGGCGAGCTTTCCGAAACGTGCATGCACACCATAAGCCCACCTGCTGCTCTGGCGTGCCGAATGGAGAGGACATAACGAAGAGAAGCCTGTATAAAAGAAAAGAGACCTCCACGGATGAATGGAGGAGACGGACGGAGAGTGGGACGGAAAGATGAGGAGAAACGAAAGGAAAGAGAGAGAGAGAGAGAGAGAGAGAGAGAGAGAGAGAGAGAGAGAGAGAGAGAGAGAGATCCTTAGAATTCGATCTATGGAAGGGGAAAGTCCAGCTCCGACCCGGTCAAGCTCATACCGCCAAACAGCATGGTCGAAAGGGAACTTTTCCATTCCCTCGAGACGATGCCCATTAGGATAAGTCTTTCCTTTACTCAAAACCATGCCTTTATGCTCACTGAATCTCCTTTTTGTTGTAGAACCCCATCGAAACACTTGTGAAACTGATAGATGTCTCGATCTCCAGACGAGACCTCTCATCTGAACCCGTAGAAACACTCTTCTGAATATCTGTTCTCGGCAGGGCATTCATTGACTTGGACATCAGAGAAACTTTGGGAAGAAAATCTCTTTCAGTCCTCATGAAGGCTCGACTGACCTCTTGTATAATGTTCGCATATGAGAACAAGACTTCCTCCGTCCTCGCCGAACACAGACAAGCTTCCGCCCTGAAACGATTTGTCGTCTTTCCCCATATGACGAAACTCAGAGACACGATTTCACTCTCCAAACAAATAATACACCTTCATATGATATCCCAAAATTTACTCCTAAACAATATATATATTATATGTGCCAAAAAATCAATAGAAAAAGAGTGAAACCCTTCTTTTATAGTTTTTCTATAATTTTGTAACATGACCATAAATGAGTAAGTTGGCTGCGTTCTTATGTTAGAATTCATTCTTATGTTAGAATTCATTCTAATTTATCATCTCTGTGAGAAAAATGTTAAGGTCAATTTTCTAGTATGGAAAACTAGAAAGCAAAAAGATCAGGATAGTAAATCAGGCCAATAATTTTCAAGCTCCAAATTGTTCAGGAAACTCACAACAAGAAAAGACCATGGTCATAAAATATAAACCCCTAAATCGCCTTAGAACCCTGTGGAACTAAAGGATTCCAACACATTTATCTGTGATAATTATCACCCACAAAAGGGTATTTAGATCGAGACCTTGAGGGGTCAATCTTACACTTTACATCCTCCAAAGTACACGAAAAAAACAAGCTTTTGGTCTCTTTACTCACTGTAGTATCCCAGTAGGAGATGGTCCCTAAACTGCCATTTTCATCTCTATCTTCTTGTGAGGTTCATAGCCTATGAGGTCAAAGTCAGTAGCCACAAAAGAGTCAATGTGTTTCTTCTCTGAGTTTATCTTCAAAATCTGCAGTAATGAGCCCATGGAGACAACAAAAACACAGTAAGGATAGATGAAAATGCACATTCCTCAACCATCATTGTTAGTAGTACTTACAGGAAAAGGTTTTGGTGGATTCTGAAGTTGCTCTTGCAGAGGCCTCACATGATTTCGATACACATGAGCATCCCCAATAACATGGATAAAATCGCCAGGAACAAGATCGCACACATGAGCGAGCATGCAAGTAAGAAGAGAGTAGGAAGCAATGTTAAACGGCACACCAAGGCCCATGTCAGCTGAACGTTGATACATTTGACATGAGAGCTCTCCTTCTGCCACATAGAACTGCAAAAGAAAAGATGAGAAAAAGAAAAATCAAACTCACTGTAAGAAAACAAAAGAATCAGAACATAACTAAAAGTGGAATTACCTGTGCAAACATATGGCATGGAGGAAGTGCCATTAACTTAAGATCAGAAGGATTCCAAGCCGACAATACAATACGCCGATCATCAGGATTGTTCTTGATCTTGTTGATTACATCTGCGAGCTGATCAAATCCTTGACCAGTATAATCAGCGTGCATGTCTGTGTACCTGTATAAACAAGAGTAAGATGTTTTCACCAAAAGAAATGCATCCAAACAAAGAAGAAAAGCCAAGAGATGCATAGAAGTGTTACTGACTTAGCACCAAAGTGTCTCCATTGAAATCCATACACAGGTCCAAGGTCGCCTTCCTCTCTCTCTGTCAAGCCGATGCTGAAATTACAATGGACTTATCAGCAAGAAGGCTGTGAAAACTAATTTTTCACTTCTTGAAAGGACATTTTCGGTTTAAAAGCTTACCCATCAAGATACTCTCTTGACGCATTCCCATCCCATATGTGGATGCCTTTCTCTTGAAGGACCTGCAAGCCATGTATACAACAAGCCTCTCAGAGAACTATCTAATTCATTTGCATAGTTTAAAAGAACAAAAGAAACAGTCTTTGGCTCAATCATGGTGATACAGTCTCTGTTTTTGTTTTACCTTTGCATTGGTTGAGCCGCTTATGAACCAAAGAAGCTCCTCAACAACACCTCTCCAGAAAACTCTCTACACATAAGATGCAAACAACTTGAATATGAGATAGTTTAGATATAAAACTGCCGCCAACGGCAGAAGACAAATCATTCTCATTACGCTAATAAACATGGTAAGTGAAGGAAAAAGTGAGCATACCTTTGTTGTCAGAAGTGGAAAACTTCTGCGTAAATTGAATTGCATCTGTTCCCCAAGGAAGTGTTAGATTACTTAATCTAAATAACAAGCCAGAGAAAGATTCAACAGGTAACAAACAGGGGTTTTTACATCACCTGGCAACCAAATTTTGATAATGTACCAGTCCCGGTCCTATCGTTCTTCACATTACCACTCGAGATAATATCTTCAACAAGATTCAAATACCGGAACTCCTCATGCTGATCAAAGATCATCTTGGGAAGAAACAATAACTTCTTCCCATCAAACTGAAGGCACTGTGACCCATTGCTTTCACCAGAGGACTCATCCGCAGAACTTTTCACACGCACAAAACTCGTGAAGCGAAACCGGAGTCCATTTTCAGTCATAGGAACCGATGAGCACCAGGGCTGATAAACACAAGTGTCAACCGCAGGTATAAACGTATCACATTCAATACTTGTATCAATCTCAGTCAAATGAATAGCATCACAATTAGGACTGTTCAACGCTTCCCTACAAATCCAAACAATCAACAGTTACTTAGTGAATCACCAAAAAAGGATTAGAATTGAAACAGCTAACACATTTACCTCAATATATCACCGCCTCCTATAACAAACACCCTCTCAATAGATAAACAATAAGGCGGAGCAGCTAACAGATCAAGAGCAGAATCTACACTACTGCAAGTCACAACATTCTCAGTGTTGGCTATATCAAAACCACCAGAACGAGTCAGAACAACGTTAAGCCGACCCGAAAGCGGCCTATGCTTGATGGGAATAGACTCCCAAGTTTTTCTACCCATCACGACAGCGTTCTTCTTGGAGGAATCTGATGTGGTTAGAGTTATGTTATTGAAGAACTTGAGATCAGTAGGCAGATTCCATGGCAATTTCCCGTCTTTACCAATACCCATTTCTCTAGTTGCAGCTACCACAACTTGGTAAGTTCTCTGAGGGTCTGAAGCCATGGTGTTAGCATTGTCATTGAGGGTAGTTTCCATGGTGAAGTCAAAACCTTGCAGATGTTTGGGATTGATGATGATGATGGCTTGTGATGAAAATAAAAGAGCCGCCGTTGGGAAAAAGACAGCAGAGACTGAGACAATCAACAAAGATAAAGATTCAATAACTATTGAAAGAGGGCAAAACAATAGCTCCAAATGAGTGAAGAGAAGCTATACGAGCAAAATGGGATGAAGGCGAAAGGAAGAATCTTTGACGGATTGTGCAAATACCCAACAGAGAATCGAAATCCAGAAGGAGATTAAGGGGTTTGGGAGACGGAATCGTAAGTAACTGAATTTTAATCCGGTAGGTAAAGTCCCTTTTTTTCTACCTTTGTTTTTTTATCTTTTGATTGGGAAATCTCTGGCGCTTGAAAAGGACAGGAAGTGAAGAGATAAGCGGGAGACTGGAGAGAATAGAGGGAAACGGCGATTCGTAAACGCGCTCCTAGTAGATTTTGTTATAGACGTGTCCAAAAAATAATTTTAGTTTTATATTCTTATATAGAATTAATTTTAGAATAAGTGACAATTTTGCCCAAAATTAAAATTAAAAATATTAATGACAACGAAGATAATGTCACTAATTCAAATGTTGTTGTTAAATTTTTTTCAAAAGTATCGGTTAATATTTTAATTATCTTATTTGAAAAGAGATTTTATTGGTTTAAATACAGCTGTTGTGGTTGCAGGTGTGAAAGTTTATGAAAGCATAATACTTATGTTTATTTCTTAATATTTTTAAATTAGATGAAAATTATAATTTTTAATATTAAAATTATATTAAATAATTTTAGTTATTATATATATATAATTATTAGTAGTATCGTTTTTTTATCTAAATTGTTTTGGCTTAAAGATCTTACAAATATAAAATTATATAAAATTATGAGTCATAGTTAATAAATATGAATTTTAGACTATAAAATATACTGAATTAATATTACTTCAAAAAGTATCAAATTTATTTATATATTTATAATTATAATATTTAAAACTTATTGTAAGAAAAAAATATTATATATATTTGATTTTAAATAATTTTTATATTTTTTTATTTTTTTTAATTGTCTAGCCGCAAATGCTAATAGAGAGAAGTTTTATATTTTGAAAAAGAAAAGGCGGTACGAAGCGATTAAAAACATTTTTCGTGATTATTATCAAATGCCAACAACTGATACCAACTACAAAAGATGCATTGGTGTTAGCAAAAGAACAAGTCAACACTTAAAAGAATTTCGTTTCCATCCTTAGAGAAATTGTTGAACAATCAAAACAAATTACCCAAACCGTCTAAAAACGCAGCGGTTATGGGTGCGGGTGCGAGAGTTTGCGAAAGCGGGTGATTGCGGTTAACAACGTTAACTAGAGATTTGTATGACTTGTATTATGATTAAGATTTTTGTCTGATTAGCCAATGGGTGCAAAAACGGTTACATAATAAAATAATAATATAAATATATTATATAATTAAAAAAATCAAAAATATACTATAAGAAAAAATAAAAAATTGTTACTTTAATATAATTAAAAATAAAACCCCCTAAAATACTATATACATAATATTTACGATGATTTTTAATATTTTTAGTTTGATTAAAAATTATGATTTTTATGAAAAATTAGTTTTTGTGAATATTAGAATAATATATAAATAATTTTAGTTATTAGTATTAGTGGTAGAAAGAAACTGTATCTATTATTTTTTAACTAACGATCTTATAAATATAAAATTATGATGAATCGTTAATGAATATGAATTTTAGACCATAAAAAACTTAACTAATCTTAATTCAAAAAGTATTAAATTTATTTATATATTCTGCATAATATTCAAAACTTATTTAAAAAATATATATATTATATATATCTTGATTTTAATATTTTTTTTGTTTTTTAATTTTAATTTTTTAACTGTCCAGCTGCAATCGTCTGCAACCGCAAACACTAGTGAGAATGAGCTTTTGATTTTGAGGGAGAAAAAATGGTACAAAATAGTTAAAGGTGTGATTGTTGTCAAACACCAACAACCGCTACCATTCGCAGCTTTTGCGGATGTTAGCGAGAGAACCAGTTAATATTAGGGATAATATCCCACGTCGGAAGTTGGAAAGGGTCATAACTAACATATAATGAGCATGGGCCAATCCACTCATTGCCAATTGGATTTGGATTGGAAATCCATGTAATATTACATGGTATCAAAACACGATCCAAACAATCTAATCTGATCCATAATCGATATGTGACTCAAAGATGGTCTGTCGATCCTCGCGCAAACATTACCGAGATCAATGGTCAAAGTAACCATCGTCTCAAAGAGGCGTATTAAGGATAATATCCTACATTGTAAGTTGGAAGGGTCCTAACCAATATATAAGGAGAATAGACCAATCCACTCATTGCTAATTGATTTTTGGTTAGAAGTCCATGTAACTTAACAAGGTATCAGAGCAGGTTTATTCTAAAGTTTGGATCTAAGGAAAACCTCATTGGGGATATTTAGAGGGGTATCTCATTATTAAAATAATAAAAAGAATTGAAAAATAGAAAAAAAGGGAAAAAGGGTATTTAAAGAATTCTTGTTTTAGATATCCTACAAAAAAATATACTCTTCTATTGTTTGGCACTTTCTAATTAATTAAATTTTTTAAAGTTTAAATTTAGTATTTTAATTAAATTATTTTAATATAATTAATATTATATAATTTGAGATACCTTTTAAAGTATCTAAATCATTGGGCTGCTCTAATGATCAATTTTCTTGTTATTTTTGATTTCTTGCCATTGTGTTTCTTTTTATTTTGTTTTCTGTTCAGTTAAGTGCTTTCAAACCATAGAGCTTCTTCTTATTCAAGTGTATCATAGACCTCTGGATCCAAATCATACAGCTTCTTCTTATTTAAGTTTATCATAGACTTCTGAATCTAAGCCAAATATTTCTTTTTATTCAAGCATATCATATGCCTCTGAATCTAAGCTATAAGCTTTTACAAAAAAAAAAAAATCATGTTATATTATTATTTCTTTTAAATTTGGTTTAAAAAAAAAATCGTTTCATATTTTCTAAGTATTTTGTTCTTACATTTTATTTTCTAAATATCTTATTTTTATTGAAAAAAAAAACTAGAACACAATTTCTAACTCTCCAAACTTTAAGCTATGCTGCATCTCAACCATTAAAGAATGTCCTCAAAACGAGATCTATAATTTCCGTTACCTCCTTCCACCACTGAAGGAGGCTCACCTCACCGCAACACTGCATCTTCGGCTCAACATCGTTGTCATAATGGTTACGGTGGCAACTAAACACGAGGGTTGCGCTCGTTGCGGGACTTAACCCAACAGCCCAACACCACCATCGTCAATGGGATTTTCTTTAGTCTTATGGCTATGCTCAAAACATCAAACCATGCTCAGCATCACCAAGCTTCACATTTTGACGCGCTTTGCCACTTCTGTTGTATGTTCATCACTATATATCCAACTTCACACTACAATTCTATTGTCAATCTCAAGTTGCTCATTGCAACATGTTTTCATCACTTTAACATAGTATTAGAGTCCGATCCAAACAATCCAATCCAATTTATAATCGATATGTGATCCAAAGATGGTCCATCGATATTTGCCCAAATATTACTGAGATCAATAACCAGAGTCGCCATCTTCTCTAGAGACTAGGAATAATATCCCACATCAGAAGTTGGAAAAGATTCTAGAGCATGAACCAATTCACTCATTGCCAATTGATTTTGGGTCTCATATAACTTAACAGTTAACACCTTAATTTAATTAACACGATTGGTAAATCAACCGAGGGTTTGTGTAGCATCCGTATCCGAGAAAATGTGGAATGATCGTACCGGACAGGGCATTGTCTGAGGGATGACCGAGCCAAGGGTCGGATACTGGCTGGGAAATGGAGGTTCGGACTATGGTCGGGTGTTGACCGGTGAAATAGTCGGATGTGGGCTGGATAGCCGAGCCGGATGGACCATATCCGAGGGAAAACAGGGTCCAGTCCGAGGGAAATGGGATTTATCCGAGTGCAGTGGGATATATCCGAGAGTCTGGGAGGTTAGTCCGAGTGTCAGTGGACTGTCTCCGAGGGGGAATAGGAAACCTCCGAGAGAAATAGAGGATTAGCCGAGGTGGGACAAGTTGTCCGGGAGAAATAGGAATATCCGGATGAAAAATGGAAAACACCTCGGATAAGGGCGTTTTATCCGAGTGGGAAGGGATTTGGGCTGTGGACCAAGTGTTTGGTCGGCTATTTTGGGATTTATCGAGTGGATGGTCGACCGGTACAGGGAATAGCCGAGGAAAATCGAATCGGACCGGGATAATCCTACTGGAACCAGGAAAACGTTGGATAAGTCCGAGTTACCTAGGGTTTTGCGAGTATATAAGGGAATTTGAGACTTAACTCGAGGGTGTTGCGTTTATTTGAGCTAAATAAAGCAAAGAGAGAGTTTAGTCAAGAGAAAACCCTAAGAAAAACAGTTTATCCCGAGGACATCCGAGAAAGATCAGGCTATCGCCGAGCAGAACCGATCATCGCCGAGATAAACTGGTAAGCGATCGGATATTTCCCTAAGTATTGAGTTTTCATTGGATAACCTCGAGCTAATAGCCTTGTTTTGTGGGATTTCTGAGGGAAAACAGAGTTTGGCTAGAAGAAAGGTGAACGGATCAAGAGATAGCCGAGGGGATATGGATCGGATCATACCGTGAGCCGAGAGATTCTTAGAGAGATCGGATATCTTCGTTTTGGTGCAGTTTTCATCGGGATTTCTTCTGACCAGTCTGTTTCTAGCCTTGTCTAAGGTGAGTGCGTGACTGTGGTTGGGTCTAGGACCGTAGGATTGCTAGGGTTGAGTGTTTTGCATGTTGATTGTGTGATTTTCATGTTATGTGTTTGGAATTGATAAGCAATCCTTATGTTGTGATATATTGTGGTGTTTACCGTGGCATATATGATGTTTAGCTAACCTCAGGGTAATCCGGATTATGTACTAGCTTAGGGGATGTGGGATTCTTGCTGAAGTAGACATGGGTCTTAAAAAGGGATTGATCTTGGTTGGTTAGGCTAGATGATCATGGCCGTTTGATATGGTTATGTCTATTGCGAATTGATTGTGTTGAATGTTGAATCCGAAAGTATGACTGCGTGTTTTGGTACTGACCAGGTGTTACGGGATGACCGTACTCACTAAGTATTTATGAAATACTTATGCCTCTCATTTTGAGTGTGCAGGTACTAAGCAGTAAGGGACGAGACCAGGCGGCAGTGATGGATATGGATGGATCGGGACTTGGTTTTATTTGTGTTAAGACTTGTGTTTAGAGTCTTATGGCTTTGGTGTTGATCGTTAGGTTGCTAGATGATCAGTTGTAATCTTTAGCGAACCTTGTGCTTTTATT